ATTACTTTAAAAATCAAGATAGAATGGTTAGATGGCTTAGTCTCAAAGTTTTTCTTTTGCATCCATAGAATCCATCCCTTACTGTGGCCTTGCATTTGGCGTTTATAAATTCCAGAGTAATGGCTTAATTAGGATCTTGGCTTATTGAAATTGGAGGCTGTGCTGGAGAATATGTTTTTGAGAAAGGGTAAGTGAGGGAGATGGTGAACACTCCTGTTCCCAAGCTTCATAACAAAATGCTGGTTCTTTTTGAGATTAACTTTTACTCATCGATTTTTTTTTTAAATACACGAACATATGATACATTAACTGGAATTACCTTCCACATCCTATTTGCAAAAGTGAAAATAATTAAAATAGCAAATAACAGTTTCTAGCGCATTTATGACGACAGTTGTGGAAACTGTCCTACAAGAGGGCACCATCACGTCTAAGGGGGCACACTCATTTCTAAGATAGTGTGGATTTACATATTTATTGAGAATTTTCCAGCAGATGGCAGTAAAGTGTCTTGATGTGACAAAACCAAAATAGTACAACAATTTCTGTCAGATGGAAATAATGTGTCTTTAGGGTTGGGCATGTTTTTCCTATTTATAAAAAGATAGTTGAGTGGTGGCATTGCTTATCTGCCTGGCCCTGTGCTCACCCCTCACCATTGAATCCCTGCATGCCATTTCATCCACGCACCCAGGCACCTACCCATCCATGGGGATAAATCAAAAGTGGTGCAGTTAGGGTTCCAGTCCATGCCTCCACAAGTGATTAAAATCAACAGGTGCTTCCACAGGTCTCAGTGGGGGGGGGGGGGCGCAAGTAGCAGACAAGTTCTCTCTGCGGTACACTCGTCTTAGTCTCTTTAAAAAAGTAAATAAATAACACCAAACTCATAGCTATTAAGTCGATTCCAACTCATATCGACCTTATAATACAGAGGAGAAGTGCCCTCTGGGTTTCTGAGGCTGTAAATCTTTTTTTTTTTTTCCCTCAGATTGGCTGGCAGGTTCAGAACTGTTGACCTTGAGGTTAGCAGTCCAACTTGTCACCTATCATGCAAGCAGACCTCCTTAGTGTCCCTCAAACCCCAAATCACTGCCATCCAGTCAATGCCAACTCATAGCAACTCTATAGGCCAGGGTAGAACTGCCCCCGCAAGTTTCGGAGACCGGAACTCTTTCTAGGAGTAGAAAGTTTCATCTTTCTCCTGAGGAGTGGCTGGTGTTTTTGAACTGTTGACCTGGAAGTTACCACTTCAACGAGCAACCACCAGGGATCCTAATTCCAAAGGGGAATACATGGTGATAGCTCTTCCTGAGGGACCCAAGGTGATCAGGGGGGCTTGTCATGAAGACATTTTAAGAAAATGAACTGAACCGTTAAGAAAAAGACCACAACAGTTGAGCTGAGGACTTCCTGTTCCACCACAATAAAGCACCTGCTCAGTCTTCCAGGATAGCCAGGGCTGCCCTGAGAAGGTCCTGGGGAAAGCTTACCCCACCCACCCACCCCACTCATGATCTGACCCCTTCACATTTCTTTTGTTGCCCAAACTCAAAGAACATTGAAAAGGCACATGGTCTGAGTCCCTTGAGGATGCTACATCTTCCCTTTGACGTGACATAAATTGATGTGGTATAAAGAGAATTCTTTGGGGAGGGTTAGAGAGATAGAAAAGCCCTCTTCAGAAGTGTGCAGACCTAGATGGAAATAAGTATGTTCAGAAACAGAAGCTTCACCTTTGGAACTTTTGTTTAATACATTATTTTATAGCAGTACTTTTTTACTTATCCTCGTATTTACATAGCTGAGGAAATTGAAGCATTAAGAGATGAAGCATTTGCCCAAGGGCACCCACTGAGTCACAGTGTGAAAATTCTGAGATCCCACTGTGGGTGTCTTTCAACTGCACAGCCTCACTTTCCTACTCCACCCTGTCATGTTTCAGAAAACTGAGGCCTGGGGGCCTAAAGAGGCTTTGACCATAGTCAGAGAGCCAGCCCAGCCTAAGTCAGCTAGCAGGTTTGATGTCCCATCTGTCCCATTTCTGGGTGATGGCGGGGACTAGAGAGAACAGGGCACATTCCATCCATCTAAGAAAAAGGTCAGATTTGAGTTGAAGTAAAAATGGAAACGTGATCTTTTTTTTAGTACTTTAAATTTATGATTTAAACTATGCATGCCTCAGAAATTTAAAGAGTGAACTCAATATAGGTCAGAATAGTTCTCAAAGAGGTGGACTTCCTTAGATCCAAAAAACACTTTCATAAGCATTTACCGTGAGTACCCTATTTCAAGTAGTATAAATTTTAGCAAGAATACATTACTAAAATCTATATACCTGGGGGTGAAAAACAGGTTTTCATGGTCTAAGTGTTTATACCTAATACTGACATAAAACTGACAAGTCACAACCACAATGTTTGAAACCTATTCTAGAAAATACTGTCATTCATTAAGAAAAGGACTCCAAGTCTATCTATACATATAGTATATTGGTCTCTAATTATTACTAAACAATCTTTAATAAACCTTTCTCTAAAGCAGCAACACTGAATACATATAATCTTACGGCCTACCACGACCTTTTAAAAACAAGCTTAAGAATGCGCATTAGAAACCTAATTGCAAGGATGAATCTAATTTTAAAAGCGGTCTCTTAGCGAACGAGGGTAAAGGGAATCATCATCGTTCAGAACGCCATCCATCCCTCGCACACGCAGCAACAAGCAGAAGAGCTCCGGCTCGGCACGTTCTGAACACTGACCCCTGTGCCAAACAAACTAACACTGACACACTTCACTGTCTGGGGCGCCCGACTTAATCAAAGGGTTGCTTATTTGACAACAGAACAGGAAAATGCTTCACTCTTCCAAAATCTGATTCTAAACTGGATCTCCTAGATTGGAGATGACCTCACCCAGGAATTTAAGGTCAGGGTTTATGTTCAGCAGGACATCAGAGTGCGTTTAAAAACAAGCAGACCTTTAAATCTTGTAAGGGGGAAGCCTGAGAAGAGGGTCAGAAAAACAGGTCAGCGTGCAGTATGCATGACATTGTCAGTTCACAGAAATGCCTGTTTTGTGTTCAGTGAAATGTGCTGTTCCCTGTGTGGCAGATGTGTTTATATTGGGAAACTCCATGAGGGCAGGAAACGTACCATTACTTTATCACAAATCATCTGGTTTAAAACTTCACATGCCTGGAACGTGAGATCTGGGAGATACCGTGCAATGGCTAATCAAAATGTGTCATTTTCCCTGCCACAGGAGTTACTAGCAGTGTCTGTGCCTACAGCTGACATCACATTTGTACAGAACTGAACCCTAGAGAAAACTGCAATATACATGAGCACGTTTCTGTCAGGCCCCTATGGCCCACCAAGCGTCATCATCTATCACGGTGATGACCTAGCAATGACAGTGACGGATCCAGGCTTTCAGCATCTCTGCGGTCACTACCAACCCTCGCCTATGTCCACCACAGGCCAACTGGCTGAATCTAAATAAAGTTCGACCAATTGTATTCCTGAAAATAGATAGTTGTTCTTAGCGCTAAATGAGATGCACTAGCGAGAGCTGAATTTTAAATAAAGTGCAAGGGGCAGTTTATTGGAGCAGGGATTGATATACATAGAGAATTAGAATTATTCAAACCAAGGATGGAACCATCAGGTAAATATCATCAACGAGAGACTATTTTTACTTTAGAATAAACAGACAGCTACTTTTAAAAATCGATTAGTCCTTTCAAAAAGTAATGAAAATTTCATTTTGCTTTAAATATTTTATACCAAGATCTTATAGGATATGACACCCATCCCAACACTATTAAATATTTTACTTTAATACTATTTCATAAGCATGAAATGACGTATGAAAGGAAAGAGTTCTAGTACAGAGTCAAGCAAATACATATTCACCATCCCCATAGTCTCACCCAGATAGACTAATTTGTCATTATACACATATTCTCTTAAGAAAAATGGAAGATTAAAACCACTTTCATTTCCTGAGACAAGGTGGGCCGCAGAAAGGAGGCGAAAGCAAGCTACAAAACTGGGAACGAAGACGGCATTTGCTCTGGGGCAGTGATTAAAGCCTTGGCTGCTAACCAAAAGACCGGCAGTAGGGACCCAACAGCTGCTCTGCAGGACAAAGATGTGGCTGTCCCCTTTGGAGAAGGGGACAGCCTCGGAAACGCACGCCATGGGGCAGTTCCACTGTCCTAGCGGGTCACCATGAGTCAGAATCTACTCGATGGAAGTGAACTTGGTTTGGTAATAAGTCACAGGAATTAACATGCAGAAAACAGGTCCAATGAAATATTGAAAGTCAAATCACAAGCAGTCCTAGGTTTCCATGCGGCAAAAAGATATGAAGTAAAGATGTAACCAAGCAGTGAATGATGGGGAGATGATGATGACCGTGCAAACCCAGGCAATACTAAAAGGCTTTAGTATTTAGTGTGCTTTTGGGGAAGAAACAGAAGGAGGAGGAGGAGGAAGAAAAGAAGGATGAGCTCAGTAAGGAAACTGGGAAACAAAGGCAAATTAGAAATACTGGCTCGGGGGCTCTCTGGGCCCAAGAGCCACCTCCTCTTCAGGCCACCAGTAGAGACCACTGTAAGCAACGTCCCTTTAGATCGGGGTGGGGGACATCTGATCTGAGGGCTGTATTAGGTCCTCAAAATCATCACCAACTGACAGCACAAGCAGCACACACACACCCAAGAGAAGCGGTTCCAGCCATCAAATAGGAGCGATTTAATGAAATGTTTGGCCAGTGTGGTCCACGAATGATGTTAGCAACAACCAAGTGACCCTTGGCAGATAAAGGTTTCCCACTCCTTTGGATCAAAAGACACACATTTCCATCTAACCACGACTCTCAAGTTGATCACAAATTCTCCCATGCCAGACACACACACCAGGCAGGAAAATGAAGCCAACGATTATAAAATGATGTTTTCATTTAAATTTTTATTGAAATCCCACCCCCACCTCCTCCATTCAGCTTCTAAAGTGAACATACATGTACCGTCTGGCCTGATGGTTATTTTTTGCAAATTAATTCCATTAAGTTCCTGAAAATGGGACTGGTGAAATTTGGGGAAGTGAAGCTCAGACCAGGGAATATCAAAGATTGCTTTACATGGCTGTTTACAAAGGCAAACACTGAGAAACCCGTCAGTGAAACTGCCAAGTGTGTGTGCAGCACCAGCACACTGCTTACTGATGCTGTCTCCCCTCCGGCCCGTGCCCAGTCAGGAGCAGGGAGGGGAAAGGAAGAGGGCACAGACACTTGTGACAGAGAGCAGAGCTTCCTATGGCCGGAGGAAACCTGCACAAGTTATCTCCACAGTCAACATGCTTGGTTGGTGGAATATGTAACCAGCCTCAGAGTCATTTAACGTGCCCAGGGATTTTCCCTGTCCCTGGTTTCTTTCCTTGATGATGTCTCCCCTGTATCCTACTGTAGAGTTTCCAAGGGCAGTTTTGCAATGAGTATAAATAATTCACAGTAACTAAGGACCTTTTAAAGCATCATCTCTTAGCTAAATCTCGCTGAGGATGTGAGGGGTAAGGGAGGGTGGCGGGTTAGTGTGAGAGAGAGTTTTCCCTAGTACAGTAACATATGCTTTATAAACTTTTACTGTCATTAAAAAAATCTACCTCTAGGGCAAATGATCACTTAATAGTTTCTGATATAGTGAAGTTAAGAATTGTACCAACTTTTAAAATATTATCTCAATGTCTTTCACATGGAATAAATCAAGAATTCATTTAGTCTAAATATTTAGAACAAGCTTTAACAATGATTACTCATAAATGCTTTGCTGTGAATGTGGGCATAAACCCTAACTTGACTTAGTTAATCAGGGGCTGATAGCTGTCCACCCTCTGCAGAAGTGTGTCGGAATATCCCGGGGAATAGTACCTGAAAGAGAAAACTTCCCATTAGACATCTGTGGAAAATCCACTAGAGAGACATCAATGACTCAATGTAACAGAAGGTATTCATCGGAAATCAACCTATGAATGGAACCGCAAATAACCCTGAATAATCATGCAGGAGGCATGGCGGCATAGTTGGGGTGGGGGTCAGGTAAACACATGGTCAGCAGCCCCAAACCACCCTCTGTCTAAGGGGGCGAGAGGAGGCCTTCTGCCCAGGCAAACTGATACACTCGACACCCGCGGTGGCTGCTCTACTCTGTCCCAGAGGGCAGCTAGGAGCCGGACCGCGTCCGATGGCAGTGAGCTGGGTCTTTTAGTTTGAATGATACTCGAAGTTAAAGACTAGCGAAGAAGATATTCTCTCTTTGTGCTGGATTTACAGGTAACAGCACAAAAGTAAACAGGAGTAGTTCTTTTCAACGTAAGATAGTTTAATCCAGCATCGGTCTCTTATTAAAGAGACTGTATTTATTATTATTATACTGACTTTCTCACAGAGGGGTGATGAGGTTTTCTGCTTCTGTGAATATTTACATCCTGGAAACCCGATGGACCAGTTCTGCTCTGTCTATAGGGTGGTGTGAGTTGGAATTGAATAAACAGCAGAACGTCATAAGGAAGGGAAGTGACTGATTCAGCTTTAATTATAGCTAGTACATTGTTTTTCCTAAGTCTGACAGAAAAGTCTAGCATTACTAATCGACTTCTGCATTCTGGCTCCCTTAGGGATTATGCTCGTCTATGTCACTTTGTCAGCTATGGCCACTCATCTAAACAAATTTCTGGGAGTATAATTCCCATTAAAGAACTATTTAATAAATGGTTTACAAATATTCCATCATAGAAGCCTTGGAAATTAACCATTCATTTTCATGATTCTTGAACAACTATAGCATTATAAATTTAACACTGTATAAAATGTTTAGTATAAAATTATTAAACATAATGATTAATGCCTTGTGGGATGCTTGCTTGATATGTAAAAAAATTACATTCATATAAAAGTATGTCCAATCAAATTTAGCAGACATTCTAGAATATAAGAAATGGATTAAAAACCTAAGACAGGGCTCTTAAAATCTTCCAAAGCACTTAAATGCCCAGCCCCCACCACCCCTCAGCATTTTCTCCAGATAAAACCCAGTGTAAGGGTGTAGGGACTTTGCTTTGTCCTTTATGATTTTTATCTCACCTCAAATACTTGACACATAACCTCATTACTTTATGTCACCTTAATTATTTCTTCCATAGTCGGTCCAGTTAAGACGCGAAAGACAGCTGTATTTTTTCATAGTGGGTTTCTGGGCTGCTTGGTTAAACAGGGAAGTACGTACAGCTGTATTTTTTCCTGGTGGGTTTCTGGGCTGCTTGGTTAAACAGGGAAGTACGTACCAATGAGCATCCACACGAGCTATCTTGAAGAATGCTTCTGCTCTAAAAGTCTCCCCCCTTGAAAACAGTGTCCATCAGTCATGGGCTTCTTAGAGGTTTTCTTATACTGAGATATTGTAATTGTGTCTGTCTGGATGAGTCACTAATTTTAGAGCTGGTGTCACCAGTCATAAGTACTTTTTAATATAAATATTATGTAAGTTAGAAAAAAATCCAACACTTTAAGTCTGCTGTTTGAGATGGTAGCCACTGGCCATATATGGCAATTCAACCCTGGAAATATGGCTAGTGTAACAGGACTAAAGTTTTATTTTGTTTTAGTTCATTTTAAACATGGAAACTCCATTCACTTATTGCAAAATATTTAGCTATGTTTGATGTGACTACTGAATCTTCCTTTTCATCTGTAAATTTTATACAGATCAAATATTTCTGATGAAATTTAGCATCTGAATTGCGTCTGATGAAATTTAGCATCTGAATTGCGATGTGCCAGCAATGATAAAATACATACCAGATTGTCAAAGTGTGGGTATTTTAAAAAGAAGAAGAAACAAAAGGGAGTTCTCAGTATTATTTTTATGTCTATTACAAGCTGAAATTCTGATTATTTGGTGGTGCATGTGTTAAACTAGGTTAAAGAAACTATATTATTAAAATTTATTTTACCTGTTTCATTTACTTTTCAAACTGGGGCCACCAGAAAATTCTAAATTACATAGTGGCTATCACATTCAATTTCTCTACTGGATAATGCTGCTTTAAATTAAAAGGACCCAACAGATCAATTAGGACATACCAGTCATTCTTGAGGTTTTAACTGGCTGTCCTCCAAGCCAACTGCGAGTGCCACAGTTCTCCCGGGGCCTCAGACTCCACAGTCTGTGACTCCCCATGGGGAAGGAAGTACGCGCAACATGTATCCATCTCTTCCTTCAACCGTGGATACCCTCAGTTACCTAACCTTCCCAGTGCAGATAGAGTATGTGTGTATCTCAGTAGATAAACCCATAAATAGATGTGTAAAGTTGTCCGGCAACCGTCAGAAAGCCCAGTCCAGCTAGACCCTATCTAATGCTGAGCAATTGAAAAGCAGTCTCTCCTGTGAGGGAAAACTGGAACCCCTACTTAGACACTAAAAGCAATTTGAATCTAACTATAATAATCTTTACTTGTGTTTCTTATGTTTTCAAAATTGAAATAAAAATTTGCCTGATGTGCATTTACCCTCAAAAGCAAAACAGTAAAAACTAATAAATGACCAAGTGCCGCTACATAGTTTGCATCTTGTATCATTACGATGCTTTATTTTACCCTAAACCTTGTGTTTAATTGCAGTAGCGTGAATATAGGAAATCCTGAGAGGATAAGAACAGGTATTCACTGAGCTGAGTTCTTCCAATGAGCAAGCCCTCTGGGCTAAGAAATGTATAAGCGTTATCTCATTTAATTCTGGCCACTCTGTGAAGTAGGTAATTATCCACATTTTACAGAGAAGGAAACAGTGGCTGGAAGGGCTCTAAGCACTGTCTCCCAGGCCCTGTGTCTGGTAAGCAGTTAGGACTAGATAGAGACCTGGGCTTGTCCAACACTCACGCCCTCGGTGGCAGCCATACTCCTCAGGAAAGCCCCCGGACGGAAGACAGCCAGAAGCCCCGTCCTTCTGGCTAGCAACGGACGCTGTCCCAACTTGCTTTAAGAAGCTAAGTGAATTAATCTTATTATCCTATACCCATGTGGAGTTTAGATTATAATTCTATTATGTACTATGAATTGTTGTGACACCAGAAAATGGGCTCAGTAGAAAACTGGGTGCATGCATCCCCAAATTAGATTATTTTCCCAAAGTAAATTCTCCCCAGAAAACATCCAAAAAAATCAAACTCACTGCCATCAATCGAAGTCGACTCATAGTGCCCCTACAGAACAGGGAAGAACTCCCCATGCGCACTTCCAAGACTACAACTCCTTATGGGAGTTTCTTGTCTTTCTCCCTTGGAGCTGGCTAGGGGTTTTCGAACTGCTGACCACTCGGATCACAGCCCCAACACACGAGGGCTCCTCAGCAACCCCACAAGGCAGGGTAAACCTGCCCCTGTGCTTTTCTGAGACTGCATTAACTCTTTCCAGGAGTAAATAGCCTCACCTTTCTCTCATGAGGGCTCGTGGTTTCGAACTGCTGACATTGTGGTTCGCAGTCCAATGCGTAACCCATTATGCCACCAAGGCTCCTTGCGCACGCGCGCGCGCGCGCACACACACACACACACACACACAGAGCTAAATACAGCAGAGACAGGACTAGAGCTTAGGTTTTCAAACTTCTATTCCAGAAGACGTTACCTCTCATCACATCACCTTCCTATATTATAGTTCTTAACCATCGTAATAGCATTAATGGAGGAACACACAAAAAGTAATTGTTTCTAAAAGTCACCTGTACTACAAGAACCAAAACTACAAACAAACCCATTTTTGAGATTACGTTGACCTATTTCCACAAAAAGACAAGTTTTCAGAAATTTCTATAAAACATCTTTTGTAAACCTAATTCTTTACAAAACATCGGGAATTTGAAAAAGTTTATCAACTAACCATGATTCTTAGGCACATTTAAAAATGAAACCGTAGGTCACGGAGTACAAGTTCAAAACTGGCAAAGGTCTTCTGATTAAAAAGCCTACATTAAAGTTTAACTTGACCCAGTTCTCTATTTCCACTGGCTGCTCAGTTCAAGCACTCACAGAAAGCAGTAAAATAATGTTTTACGTCCACTTATGAAGAGGTTTTATGCTGGTTGATTCAAATAGCTCATTCCACTGCGGAACTATTTCAGTTTACTTTTTTTTAGCTGTTTATATTATTTAGGTTATGTAACTGTTTCTATTATTTAGGTTAGCTGTTTATATTATTTATATTATTTTAGCTGTTTATATTATTAGGTTATATATATTTTTAGCTGTTCATATTATTTATGATAACTGTTAGGAAAGTTATCTTAATTAACATAAAACAGCATTCTTCCAAAAGGGACTTACATTCCAGGTACAAAGATGAACTTTATTTTTTGATAAAAGATCTTTACTGCTTTACACAATTGATGTATGTATGGGTTATGATAAGAGTTGTATGAACCTCTAATAAAACTATTAAAAAATAAATAAATAAATTTAAAAATAAATAAATGTCATTATAAAAAAAAAGATCTTTACATCTTTCACCTAGTGATTTGACATATTTTATAGAGTATGGATTTCTTTGTATTGTATATGACAGTATATATTTTGTTATAATTACTTCTTTGATATATTCTATCCATTAATATTTTCAAAGTTAAGTTAGTGAAAGTTTTTTGGTAAAATTATTCTCATAAACTTCTCAAAAGAGCATAAATGTATATCTCTTGAAATAATTGCTGATAGAATATATGTGAATTAAAGGTGAAATTTTTATCTTACAGAAAATAATTTTCTGGTTATAAAATATTAGCATTGTATTAAAAATCACTGGTATTAAAGAGGAAGGATGAACAGATATGCTATAACACAGTTTTAAAAATGAAAGTTTATATTTTCTAATGTGTTAACATCAGAATGGGGCAAAAATAAAAAATAAGGGTAGGATTGGAAAAATTTTTACAAGTGTGGTTTTTCAGCCTGCATATTTTGTGGGTATTTTTCAGGATTCATATGTTAAAATAATTCTGTATTTTCTGGGTAATGTTGCTTTTACTTATTTTGGATTTAATGGTACAGTTCTCCTTCAGGTTATAAGGACAAGGCTTGGGTCGGTGCAAATCAACCTCATTTAAAATATATATGTGTATTAATCTTGAACCAGCTTTCTGCTGCTTTACTCTGCAGTACCTGTATCTCGTAAATTCACAGAAGTTACTTTCCAGCGTTTAGTAATTTTCATTTTACCACTCAACATCTCTTTGATACTTGTAATACTCCTATCCATGTAAGCTAAGGCAGAAAAGTAATATACAGTGAACTAGGTACATGGATTTGGAAACTATAGGCTGTTTCTAAATTAAATGTACACCATTAATAGGCTGAAGAAATTTAATATTCTATTTTATTAATTTAATAATTAATTATTAACTCTGTTTGGACACTATTTGGTAAGGCATACATTAAATTAGTAGAGAAATCTCTCCAAAGGCCCTCCAGTTTGAGTTGGAAGTGTATCTATCAATCAGAACATTATGAACGGGCTCCAAAAAGTCTGTGGGAAAGTATCTCTTCATACCGTTTTGCACGAGCTTTCTGAAGCCCCTTTGGATTTCATTTGGGGGAGGGGAGGAAAGAGGTCAAGAGTGAAGTAAAGGCATGGACAGGGTCTCATCTAGTAGTACTTCACTGCTCACACTTTGACAGCAAAAGAAACCAAAAAACAACTCCATCAAACTGACTGCCATTGACTCCAGTCCAACTCATAGTTACCCTCTTTTAAAAAGTAAATAAATAACACCAAACTCATAGCTATTAAGTCGATTCCAACTCATATCGACCTTATAATACAGAGGAGAAGTGCCCTCTGGGTTTCTGAGGCTGTAAACCTTTACAGGAGCCCCAAACCTCCTCTTCCTCCTCTGGAGCAGCATGTGGGTTCGAACTCCTGACCGCGTGGTTAACAGCTCGGTGTATACCCACTGCACCAGGGTTCCATCTGTACTGGCACAGTGGGTATAAAATCTAGATTTCAAAACAAACATTATTTTAATTTGGGGCATCTCAAAATCCATTTTCCTTACCTTACTATCTCCTCGGGGTAACAATTATTAATGCTGTTGATATATTCCTGAAGGAGAGATCCAGGTTCTGCTTTTATCTCTTGAACCTTTTTAAGTCCACCACTTGTCACAAAAAGTCTTCGAGCTTTGCTATCATGCGGCAGCACCTTGAAAAATGAAGGACATATGAATTCCAGCTTTTCTTTACACAACTTTTTTATTACTGAAAAAGCATTACTTCAGAGAATCTGTAAAAGTGAATTTGTGTTCAAGAGACCTATAGCATAATGGGCCTAAATGTGTGGATGAATGGATTCTAACATTACCGTCTGCATCAGGACCTATGCCTGTTTTCTTTTTCCTAGAATGCCTCCCACAATCCACGGAGCTAACCCCATGCCTTTGTTAACTCTTAGGACTCATTTTTTAAGACTCAGCTCATACGTCACCTCCTTCGAGAAACCTTCTCTAGGGCTCCCGCGGCCTCTCTTCCCAGATGGGTCCGCTAGGTCTCTCAGAGCACTCTGTCCAGTCCTTATTGGCACACTTACCACTTGATACTCTGATTATCTGGTTATTTGTCCGTCACACCTAAATGCCACTGGACAAAAACCGTTAACATTCACTCATTTACATCCCTGCTGCCTGACACCTCCTCAATCTCAATAAATGTTTAACAAATTATTGAACATACAAGGGGTAGGCAGGGAAGTTCCCAGAGAAGACTTAAAAATCAACCAGTGAGGACTAGAAAGAAAACCCTGTGCTGACAATTAAAAGGCTTCTGGAGAATGAAGCCAAGGAGGTTAGTTGCAAGTGAATGGCAAGTGGAGGAAGTCCAATTACGGTCAACTGCGGAGGGCACCGGAAGTGAGAAGGCAAAGGCAAATTCTAGTGTTTCCTGAAGAGCAGTGGGCTGAGACAGGCAGCTGGACAGAGCCAAGGGGACAGGAGCTTTTGTTTTGTTCCTGGGGTGAGAGACAGGAGGCAGGAGAGATGAAGAAATGAATTATGCAAAACAAGAGACTGGTGGCTGTGAGAGGGCGTGGGCCTGAAAAGAGGGACTTCCTGCTCTGAAGGATCATTGCTCTGCCCTCTGACACAAGACCCCCTTTCCAATCCTTTCTCAAGGACCAGCTTTCCCCTCTGCATTTCCTCTCCCGGAGCCTTCTCCAAAGACCTTCGCCTCTATCCATTTATTATTTCACTTTAAAAATGAATTCATCATGAAGCCAAGTACAGTAAAACGCTTTCTAATTGCTCTGTCTGGTCTCCCCAGATTTCAGAGTTCCTTGAAGAAGAACTTATCCTCTTTTTTTTAATCTATTAAAATAGGCACTTAAAACTACAAAAGGATCTTACTAATATTTATGTCAACTGGATAATGAATTATTCCATTAATAGGTGGGGTTGTTTTTTTTTATGAAATTGCCTATAGAACTAACATTTTAAATGTTTTATTTGGCCCAGAGAATTTTCATTACCTCCTTTCTCTGTCCCTGGGCACATATACCAAATATTTTACCTTCTGCCTTGCTTCCCCATCACTTCCTAGGGTTGTGGTACCCTTAGATTAAAAGCGCGCACACACACAAGCGCACAAAATTCTGACTGGCACACATATTCTAGAAGGTCTTTTTATAAAAATGCATGATTCTCTTTATTTAAGAATATTTATTTCAGAGTCCATGGGTTTATTATTAGTTACTTTAGTGACTTATTTTGAATTCTTAAAATAGGCTAGAATTCACTATCACAGTAAGTTAAACGAAACTAGAAATGCCAGGGAGTACACACCCCCCCACAAACCCGAAAAGCTCCACTGGGCGAAGCTTTCATAGCAAGCACTTTAGGTGAGCATCGGGCATCAAGCAACTTGCTCTGAATTATTGCACCCAGGGGAACCGCCTTGGCTGGTTCTCTCTGAATTTTTTCGTAAAAGCAGTATTGCTTGAACCTTGTTTTCTGTGATTTAAGAGAACAGCGTGCAGCTGTGAAATTTTGTTTCCTGCTTGGGAAAAATGTTGCAGAAACTGTTGTGATGTGGAACACAGCTTGCAAGGACAGCTCTTTGGGGAAAAACTCAAGTGTATGAGTGGGTTTTCTCATTTCAAAAACACTGAAACGTTGATTGATTACAAACTTCATTTTGGACATTCGTCAACTTCCTGAACAGACAAAAATGTCCACTTGTAGTGCCTTTGGCTTTCTTTCCACCAGGTCAGACTGTGAATCAAGAGGTTCTGAAAAGATAGCCTAATGGTGTGCAATAAAAAAAACCTGATTTGTGGCAGGCAAGGGACTGGTTTTGCCACCAAGACATTCCATCTGCTCATGCAGCCATCTCAGAGAGCCAGTTTTAGCAAAAAACAAAACAAACCAAAAAAAGCAGCACGCCTATCGTGCCCCACACACCTTACATTAGGCTGTTTCTGCTAATGAAGAGGGGCATGAAAGGACAGCAATTTTACAACATAAAAGAGGTGAAGAAAAAAATGAGTGAGGTGCAGTCAGCCACCCAAACAGATGAGTTTGAAAAAGGTTTCCCAGAATGGAATCGCAGATTTGACAAATGTATGAAGTATAATGGAGAGTACTTTGAAGATCATAAGATTGTTTTATACCACCCCCCTCAGAAGAATGCACTTCAGAGGACAGCACTGGGGCTCCAGTTTAGGGAGAGGGGAGAGTCAGATTAGAGCACATGGGAGAAATGCAAAAGGACGGAGAGGGAGGAGAGGGCATCCTGGCCCACCAAGCCCCGAGGACGATGTTCCTGCTCGGAGCAGACAATGCACAGAGAGGACCACAGGGCCAGCCCCACCACGGGACACGGTGTCCCTCACTGAACCATGGCACTGCGGGGGACAGCACTGGAGACACAGTGCGGGAATAGTGCACGGCCGGGCCCCCTCACGCTGGGGTGAGGCACTGAGGGCATGCAGCAGAGCAGCAGGGGGAACAGAGTGATGAGACCCCCGGGGAATACCAAAAACCGACTTGGGAGACAGAGCCTGGCACCCCATCAGACTTGGCTGGAAAACACTAGTAAAGGCCAACAAACAGACCTTGAACTATGTATAGGCTTTTCCATTTTTGTCAGCGGTTTTTTTTTTTTGCTATTGTTATTTTATTTTTGCTGTTGTTATTTTTTTTGTTGGTTTTGACTTCCTTTGTTGTTTTATTTGGCGTTGCCTGGTTTTTGCACTTATTAATGTATCCGCATGTCTATCTAGATAAGATAGGCAGGACAAATAATTCAAAGATGAAAAGAATGGGGCCAATGGCTCTGGAGGGATACGGGAGAAGGGGAGGTAGGAGTAAGGGAGGTGGGCAACCAACCCAGGGACAAGGGAACAACAAGTGAACTAAAATCAATGGAAGGAAGGTTGTAGGATGCCAAGTGGGGCTCAATCATGGGCAATGTAACACCGAGGAATTACTAAACTCGAATGAAGGTCGAACATGATGATAGGATAAGAGGGAACTAAAAAGGAAATAGAGGAAAGAACCAGGGGGCAAAGGACATTTATAGAGGCCTAAATACAGGCATGTACATATGTAAATATACATATAAAATGGGAGGGGAATAGAACTATGTACTCACATCTATATGTTAAGGATTAAGGTTACAAATGGACACTGGGCTTCAACTCAAGTACTCCCCTAACACAAGAACACTTTTTTCTAACAATCTGGCATTCTGTGATGCTCACCTTCCCAACACTATCACTGAAGACAAAATGGATACATAAGCATATGTGGTGAAGAAAGTTGATGGTGCCCGGCTATCAAAAGATATAGCATCTGGGGTCTTAAAGGCTTGAAAATAAACAAGTGGCCATCTAGCTCAGAAGCAACAAAGCCCACATGGACGAAGCACACCTGCCTGTGTGATCATGGTGTCAATGGGATCAGGTATCAGGCATCTAAGACCCAGAATAAAACCATACCCAAGGTGAATGGGGGTGGGGGGAGGGGGAATGGAGTGGAGACCCAATGCCCATCTGCAGACAATTGGACGTCCCCTCACAGAGGGGTCACAATGAAGAGATGAGTCAGTCAGGGTGCAGTATAGCACCGATGAAACACACAACTTTCCTCTAGTTCTTTAATGCTTCCTTCAGCCCTCTATCATGACCTCAATTGTACCTTACAAATCAGAATAGACCAGAGCATGCACACTGCTACAGATAAGAACCCACAACACAGGATATCCAGGAGAGATAAACCTCTCAGGGCCAACAAGAAGAGTGGAGATGCCATCAGGATTAGGGGAGGGTGGGGTGATAAATGGGGAATAGATCACAAGGATCAATCTAGAACCCCCTCCCAGGGGGACGAATAATGGAAAAGTGGGTGAGGGGCAACAGAGGATGTAAGATATGGAAAAAATAATCTATAACTTATCAAGGGTTCATGAGGGAGGGAGGGCCGAGGAGGGAGGGGAAAGAAATGGGGAGCTGATATCAGGGGCTCAAGTGGGAAGAGAAGGCTTTGAAAATGATGGCGGCATATGTGCAAAGGTGCTTGACACACTGGAGGAATGTATGGATTGTGATGAGCCCCCAATAAAAGTAATTTAAAAAAAAGATTGTTTTATTAAAAAATTTAAATACATAGTCTTGGGGAGGGGTTTCCATCTTTTGGGGTTACCTCTGTGTCTCGCTCACTAGCCTAAAGTATTTGGACTACAAAACGAAGCTTTCAGAACTAAAGTGAACTATCCTCTTCTATGCAGTCCCTGGGTGGCACAGCGGTTAAAGGCTTAGTAGCTAACTGAAAGGGTGGCCGTTGGAATCCACCCAGGGGCCTCTGCAGGGGAGAGCGTGGGCAGTGCGCTCCCAGAAAGATCACAGCCTAGGAAGCCGGGTATGGCCGCTGTGCTCTGCCACATGGACTACTATGAGGCAAAATCCAGCTAATAACGCCTACCACCACCTTACCTGAAAGGTTGGCATTTAAAGCACACCCAGAGGCAGCCAGGAAGAAAGGTCTGGCAACCTGCTCCAAGGAGATCACCCCTGGTCTTGAGGGCTCCAAGGAGCGCAGTCTGCTCGACACCACGGGGACGGATTCAACAGCAATGGGGTCCATTTCTAAGAGCTGATGACCAGGTTTACAGGTGATCCACTCAGTCCCTTCTTCCTGCCTCCTCCTCTTGTCGTATATGATAAAATAGCTGATGAATTTGTTAAACGTAATATACAAAATCACACAGACACCAAGAGGGAGATCCATTTATCTCCGGCAGTAATTTCGTCTTTTCGATAGTTGGTTAGTTGGTTGGTCAGGAAAGTATGCCATTATGGCTCCTACCTCCCCCAAAAATAAGGTGGGGGAGGCAGGCACGTGTGATGATTTTCTTAGGAGGCGCACGGGTGTTTAATACACAGAATTGCACACTGGGATGGAGTCAGCAATGTAAAAACCTTCTGCTTCCCCATGGTCAAGATACCTGAGAGAGCTGCTGGAGATCACGGAAAGAGTCCTGAGAACTAACAGCCACTAAGGCCCACTCAGTCTATCTTTAAGATAAATGCCTACAACTAGCCTATTTCACTGCAGGTCTTAATTTCAAAGTTATCAACTATGCAGCCTTTGCTCATTAACTATAAATATGTGAAGACTAGTCAAATGTGTATACAATCAGACGCCAAAGTTCACTACCATCAAGTCAACTGCAACTCACAGCAACCCTGTAGGACAGAGTAGAACTGCCCCCCATGGGGGTGGCAAGGCTGTGGCTCTTCACAGTAGAAAGCCTCATCTTTCTCTTGGGAGCAGCTGGTGGTTTCAAACTGCTGACCTCACAGTTACTAGCTCAACATGTAACCCAATACGCCACCAGGGCTCCTATTCAATGACAGTACCTCATTTATGAACCATTATAGTCAACTAACCAAAACAGATTTGTATCCCTGTTCATTTCTTACTTAAATTTTATTAAGTAGTAATAGTCACTTCCTGCCTTATTCCTTAAAAACAACATATTTTATATTTAATGCCTACTAAGAGCCTGGTATTGAGCTAACCTCTTTAAATTTAGTATCTCATGTTCAATCTTTACAATGGCTCTATAAGTATTGTTTTATGGGTAATGAAATTAAGGGTTAGAGAGGTCAAGACTGTGCTAAAGATATTAGAACCGTTAAGTGGGAACTGTAGACACTGCAACTCTGCAGGCTGAGCCCCGAGCCACGACAGGATGCCCCTCCCCCTCCACAAATCCCATTCCCTCAAATAAAATGTCAAAGCGCATAATTTAGCCAGTCCCTGATAGTGCAGTGTCCTGACCATCAGTGACAACTGAAACACATTCCTCCTTGGCTCACAGGACTGTCCTTCTGGCTGTTTCCACTTCTAGCAGTCTGGTGCTGCTATCTTATGGCCCTGAACCTACAACGGTCTAAGAACTCTGACAGCTTCAATGGTTCAAACTGCAGTGGTTTGTTCTTGTTGCTGTTTTGTTGTACATTGTTGCTTGGTTTTGCTCAGTCTTGTTTTTGTGCATATTATTATCTCCGCAGGTCTGTCTAAATAAAATAAGCTAGATGAACAATTCGGAGGAGAAAACAACGGGACCGACAGTACCAGGGGAATATGGGAGAGGGGAGGTGGGGGGAAAGGAAGTGGTGTTAAGAAACCCAGGGACAAGGGAACAACAAGTGATCCAAATTGGTGGTGAGGTGGGTGTGGGAGGCCTGGTAGG